ACAAGAGGAAAGCCCAGATTTGGTTCAGAACTCATGTTCCTATTGTTTGGAATAGTGGGAAGGGAGCTTTGCTCTGCGTGTTTTCTTTCATTGTCTGAAGTGAAGAGCTGCCCTGTCCTTATAAGGACAGAAGGAATGTGCATAATTAGTCCAAGGCTAGAGAACAGAGACATTTCAAAATGAACATTTGTTATTGATTTCCCAGAGTGCAGTGGAACTGAGAAGAATATCATGAGAGGAAAAGATATGTAATTAAATGTGATTTGTTCCAATGCTGCCAAGCTAGGTCATTGTATGTGTATCATCCGAGTGCATTGCTTCAACACAAAGTGCACAATCGCCCTCCCTGGCACTAAACCCTCTGATTAGCCAGCCTCCCTTCACTGGTGGAAGGGGCCAGCCCTTCTGTTGTTTTGCTGCCGGCAGTGTTGCTTGTGCTATTTCTTTAAGACTCTTCATCAGATGTGGTTTGTCAGGAACATGCCCAGACTCTAAGTCAGAACAGAGCTCATTTTCTTTGATGTGCATTTGTAATGTGCCTGCTCCAAAAGGAGGGGAATGAAAACTTTGGTCACACTGTTAATCTGAAGGAACTACATTTTAAGCAACTGGATGTGTATGGACTATGTACAAACTGTACTGTTGGCTACTCCTTTCAAACAGAATTTTATCACTAATTGGTGCCAACACAAGAACATATGTCAAACATTTAACCACAACCAAATCAGGATGAATGTGTTCAGTCTAGACCTTCTGCTATAGAAAGACTTTTTATTTTCAGTTTAGGGCCTGAATTTTTCCAAAACAACACAAATAGCTGTTTCAACCTCATTTTTTGTTGTATTGTGCTCAACACCAGCACAGATATGATCAGTTTGGCTATTTGGCTCTGATGTTTTAGGTTTTTTACTCAAGGCTTTCACCCTCTAGCAAGTGTTTTGCATATTAAAAAATCTGAAAGTGAAAGGGTTACACTTCCTTGAAGGTCCACTTGAATGGCTGTGAGAAAAGAGCCAAAATGGTAATCACATCCCTATGAGATCATATTGAAAGCAGCCATGCCTATTGCACAGAGTCTTCTGATGTTGCAGAGGTCTGTAAAACATTTAATCACTGGAGTTTCAATAAGTTGAGATTTGTTGTGAGTACTGTAGAGAGCACTAGTCTTAGATAAAATGCTGCCTGGTAATGCTCTTACAGCTACATGAGCCAGAATGCAATCGAATATCCATGGTGATTTAGCCTTGCACCATCATCCCAGAGAAGGGGATGCAGGATTTTCACAGCTACATAGCAGTGGATTAATATAACTATTCATTACAATTCAGGGGAGGCCTGATCCAGCTTCTGTCAGTGGAAGGAAAGATGCCATTTGATTTTACTGCGAGTTTGGATGGGGTTTCATATGTCTAATCCTGTGACTGCCCTCCACTACCACAGAAGCTTCTCCAGAGCTCTCTATTACTCTGCTGCCCAGGTGGCACCTCTACAGCAGCTGGGCTGCTCTTATTACTCAGTGGAGCCCAGGTGATCCTAATTCTGCCAGGCAGCTAAGCATGGCCAAAGAGAGATTTAATAGCTAAACCTTGCCTACCTTGCTTTTTATTTATTCAAGCTTGTGAAGTTCTGACTGACCTAAAATATAAGTTTGGCATAAACCAATGCCTGTCTTGGAAAGAAATGAATAATGGAGTTTTGAAGATGGCTCTGCAAAAACTCACAGATGAGACTCTGTGTGGATGAGCCCCAAGTAGCTCTGCTCACAATGTACCTTCTCCTCTGGCCCAAAGTGTGCAGGGAGCCCAGAGACAATCCTCGTTAGCCTATCTTCATCAAACTGCCAGCAGTCTCTATCCAGTTAAGCTTGCACCAAATAAACTTTTATTAAGAGGAAGCCCTTCTCCACCAAAGGCATGGCTCAAAGCTTACTTTGAAAGATGCAGAAACCAAGCTAAAAGTGGAACAAGATTAAAGAGCAAATCACTCACACAGTGGGTCAATCCAAATGACTCCTTCTGTTTTTTTTGCAAAGATCCAAACCTATAAACTGTCAATGCAACTTGAAATACTGAAGAAACCAGAAAGGTAGTTTATGTCTCTCAAGCAGTTTAAACAAAACAAACAGCTGAGCCCATTTTATTGTAAAGGTCTGTCTTTGCTGCCATTACTGAGCAGCAGAATGAGCAAGATTGTAGGTACCAAGGGTGAAAGATGGTTCAGTATATGGTTATATTTTGTCTTTTGTCCCTATACAATCCAAAATCACATTAGATGAAAAAACCTACCTAGGCTGCTAGAGCCAAACAAATGAAAGGATGCCTCTGACCAAAGAGCACTGAGTTTTCAGAGACAGCTCCTGAAATATGCCAGGTTTGAGAATGGAAGCCTCAGAGCATCAGTCCTTTCCCCTTGGCTGACAGGCTCTTGCAAAAGAACAGAAGAGGTTTTCCAGCAAATATTTTGAGTGTCAGGGGAAAAAAAAAACCGTCATGAATTAATGTGGATTTTGAGGAGAATGATATTGCCTAAAAATACCATTGTTAGTACAGGCTTTTCTGACACACTTGGCAGGTTTCTATAGCACCTTCTGACTATATGAAGTTGTGTGTGTGACTTAACCTTTTTATTTCTGCCTTTTGGAGTTTAGTCTCTGTCACTGTTGCCCTCTGCATTCAACTCCTCTGAACCCTCAGTGCTCCTGACACTCATTGTTATTCTGCTCTCTGCTTTCAACAATATTCCAGTGATATTCCCTCCCTGTCAAAGTACTGGCTCAGTCTACCTTAGAAAACTCTCAGGAGCTGTTGATGTCTAAGAGAGAAATTAATATTTCTAGTTTCATTATTATTAGTAATTGGCCAAAATGTCAGGATTAAAACATTTAACTGAAAAGAAATTTCACAATTTAGTGTTTTGCTGTGCTTGAAGGTTGAACATTTTTAAGAACTGTTTGTCAGCATCACATTCATTTCCAAACTGCTTTGCTGCTACTGCCCAAGTCCCACCCCATGGCCCCAGTTTCAGGCTGCCTATCAGATGTTGAAAAGAGCTGTTTGGAGACATAAGGATTAGCAAGGTGAAATCCTGTGTGATCCCTTTGTTTCATAGGCCAAACACTGAAAAGCATACCATCTATAAACCATACTTATGACCCGTTTTTGTGAGCCCAAAATAAGGTCCGGTCAAATCACCATAGATATTCTCATTAAGCATTAGTTCATTCTTGAGGAAATAGTTGTCAGTATCAATTGCAAGAAGTCCTGTTCAGTTTTGTAAAAGCTGTGTAGCAGCAGCCCAGAGATGGGAAGGTAAAGGAAGCAGATTAAGTTCTCATGCAGTGTAGTGCCAGTTTTAGATGCCCACATCCTGTCACAAACTACACCCTCGTCTGTAGCAGCAGCACTTCTCTACCATAGTCAGTTCTCTACCGTTTTTTGATGTGTTCAGTCATCAAGGAAATCCCCCAGCCTGCAAGGGTCTCATTTCTTGGCATGGTTTCAGCCAGTCCCAGGACTTAGTGAGCTGCAGCCAACAGGGACTGCAGCTTCTGCTGCTCCTGCACTCCCTGCAGCCTCCTTGCAGCACTGCCAGGACCCTCTGACACCCCAGGGTCTTGCTTGAACACACCAAGTACCTCCCCAAGAGAAAAAACAATGCCCTCCACCCTTTCTGAAATCCCACCCTGTACTAGAAGACTAAACCAGCCACAAACAAAAGTAGAGGCCTAAATACTCTGCAGGCAATAAGAGCAAATTCAGAATCACAACAGCAATTCCAGCACCCAGCACAAATGCCTGAGAGCTCTGGGGAGGACAGGACCTGTTTGCTGCATCCCTCAATGCAATCTCTGCCTGCTGAGAAGCCTTGGGAAGCAACTTCTCAACACCCAGGAGTTTACCCCATGCCTTAAACACATGCAGCACTGGCTGCTGTCTGAACTGTGCTGCAATGCAGAAACACCTGCTAGCACTGCCTATTCTGGCAATATTTGGTAGCACAGATTTGGGACTCTGTGCTGCATCATGGTCTCTGAATATTTCATAAATAAACCTGTTCATTACTAGCATAATGAACCCATCTCATGTAGCTGTAAATTCTGGTTAAGGAAACTTGTCCATTTCCTCCACACTGGCAGATAACAAGCATTACACAGCAGTGACCCAAACACTTCTGTGAAATCTCCCAGAAAACGAGGGCTATGTGGTATTTTTTTGCTTGGCACTAGAGTTCCAGAACATAGCACCACTGTAATGTCAGATTCTCCCCAATTGCACTTCTGCAATTTTGGGAGAAAGCCACTTCACCTGTCCTTAAAGACCTAAGAAATGCTACTGGACTTTGAATTATTGCACACATCCATCTTAAAATATCATCTACACACTTGTATCCTTATCTGAAGAGCTCAGAAGTGGAACTTAGACATGTGAGCTCCATCAGCAATAGGCAAACAAGGAAGAGGGGAAAAAAGAAAATCAATCTATTGCAAATGACCAATACAGCAAATAAGAGCTGACACTCATTGCTAATTGAGGGGCTAGAACATCAAACAAAATTATTAAAGACTTAGCTGGGTTTAACAAAATACATGAGCAATTTAGGCTCTTACTGTAAAAAAAAACAACAATATTTTATTTTATTTATTCACAGCACAGCATCCTTAGCAATGTGTTTGTATGTTCCAGGGCCAGCTTACAGGACATCAGGTCTCCTGTGCATGCAGATGTAGCTTTTTCATCCATGGTTCCCTCAAGGAGTCAGTTACTTGAGGGTTGAAGTTAAAAAGTTTGGGTCAAGCACTTAGATCTCAAAGACTGAAAAATGGGACGTTTAAAAGATTAAATCAGGAACACCTTAGAAAAAAAGGTCACAATAAAGAAAGTGTGTGTATCTCATCTTAACTGGATTGCTGGTGACCAGGCATGAAGTAGCCAACAATGTTACACCCTTCTGAAAACTCAAGGTTTCAGCTGAGAGATCAAGTCTGACTATAACACTTAGAAGAAAAGAGCATCTCTCCACACAGCATTTCCATCCTTCAGTCTCTAGCTCAGCGTCATTACAAGCAAACAATTCAAACCTGTCACAGCCTCTCCAGCTTTACAACTTATAACCTGCTGCAAACCACACTTGAGCCAAGCCTTTCTTGGAACTTGCTAGAGCAGCTCACGGGATTATTGCCCCAAAGTGTGCCTATTGCCTCCTGTTGGAGCAGAAGAGAACCTGAAACACCACAAATTCATTTTCCACATGGAAGATGATTTTCAGATTAATTTTTCTCGTCATGTTTATCCTTAAGGTAGTTTTCCACTCAGAACTCTGAGGAAAATAAAGGGGGACAGGAGGGTGTGGGGGTGTGGTGAATTCTGGCTCATACACAGTCTACATCAAAAGTTACCAGGGCTACAAACCGGTTAGGAAGCCAAGCTGACAGACCTAAGCAAGAGACTGCTGGGCCCCCTGAAGGAAAAAGAAATGGCTGAAAGACATCAGAGGAGGAAAAATAAAAAATTAAAGTCCATCCTGTTGTGCTAAGCTGATCAGAGCATGCCCACTTCATCCTATTTAGGGTGAAAATGTCCAATATTATATCTGACTGGGGAAAAAAAATAAAAAAGCAAGAAACTTAATTCAAAAGTTCTGAGCATTTTCCACGCTTTTCCCTGACACTCAGTGCTGCTGAGGGCCCCCCTGCAGACGGGGCAGGCACAGGCACTGCTGGGTGAAGGGATGAGGGCAGCAGCAGCAGAGCCCTGGATCCTGCGGGGGATCCCTGGGCAGCCACAGCCAGCGACAAATCACACAGTTACTGTCATCAAAGTGATAGAAACAGAGCTGATCTAAACAAGCAGAAGGCACTGTTCTGTTTGGTCTGTACACTTTGTACACTGCCACTTGGGAACTTAATTAGTCCACATGCTTCATGTTTCTATCTTTAGTCTGATGGCATACAGCTGTTCTTTTCAGCATCGCTGCCTACTGCCCTTTCCCTGCTGTTGGGGTACACTGGAAAATAGAAAAGGAGGGATTCCCTCGAGTTTAACCCTCTGCCAGCCCTTGCTGATTGCCTAAACCAAAACATTTTAGCCCAAATCATGAGGTAAATTGTTTCAGTACTCATGGGAGTTTTCCCACATCCCTTCCCAGGGATGGGGAGGAATCCCACAGTCTCAGGGTGCTGATCCCATCACAGGGCCACTCTTCAGAGCCAAAATGCTAAAAAGAAAAAAAAAATGAACCCATTTCAGGGCAATCTTACCTACTGGGGTGAAGGGGAAGCATTTTTGAGTCACTGTCAGCATGAGGTGAGGGAACAGAGCTCGTTCTGCTTCCCATCTCAGCTGAGGTGGATTTGTGGCAGAACAAGCCCTGGACATGAAGTATGAAGGGATCTAGATTATTTCAGGATAACGAGACCTGGCACTTTTCCAATGGCCTGCTATGGCAGACAGTGACCAAGTTTGTGCAAGGATTTAGGAATAAAAAAAATGCTCCAGGACTGAGGTTGTGGTGATCCATTCATACTAAAATGCAGGAAAAAAATATCTACTGAAGATGCCCAGCTGGCCAATGAAGACAAAATTGGGGAAAGACTCAGGAATGAGGCGTGAGCTCCCACTCCTGGTTGCCTCTGTGTTCAGCATCAGGTTAAGTCTCAGCACCCCTATTTCCAGCACAGGAAGGAGGACAAAGCTGGCTTTATAGCCCGAGCCTGCCCAGGGAGCCAGGGAATGCCCCTATGCACTACATCTAATAAATGAAGGTCTTCAAAGTCCCTTGGCTGATGTCATTTCTTGCACAGGGTGTCACAGCCTTGGCCTTTCAGCTGGGACATTCATATCTCCCAGCTGGAATGCAGCTGGCATCCCCAAGCCTGGCTGTAACCTCCCAGCTCAAAATGCAACTAATTTTTCTGAGCAGTTAAGAAGCCACACATTCATCTACTCCTGAGGTTTAACCATATCAGTACATTCCACCTCCTGCCTGCCCCCATTAGTTTTTGTCTCTTGTAATCATTTTTTTCTCATATTCTAGAAATCCCTACTTCTCTATCTTGACAGTGATGTTATCATCAGGTGCTCTACATCATGCCACACTCATGAGTTTTACATTCCTATGACATGCCAGACTTTGATACAATTACAGCTTGGCTACATATCTTAATTTATGTTACAATATTGCTGCAGTGATATCAGAGACAAATGTTTAATTCACAGAAACTCAGTTTCTAACTACAGTCCCTGAATGCAAACAGCAGACTTCAATATTTTTTTCATCAATTTCTTAGTTCATAAAAATCAATTTTTGTAGAGTTTTTACACTGTACATAAAAGACTGTGGCATCAATTAGCCTTAATTCTTTTTTTTTTTCTTTTTTGGAAACCTCTTTGTAGGAAAATCTCATATTTCAGCAATTTGCATTATCCACACAATCTGCTTTGAAGTTCTAAGTTATGGTAAGAAAAGGATCCACTTATCTGCACATAAAAAATGTTCAAAGCTTATAAATTCCCTGAAACAGATGTACATTATCATTGGATTTGCCTTTCTCTCTTTGCTGTTGCATGGCTAATAGAGTTTCATGTGCCCCCTCACATCCTCCCCATTTAGCATCTTTTCTCTACAGAAGCATGCACCCTACTGTGCCAATCCACACTTCAAAGATTTCTGTCTATCTATTAGAAACAAAGCACAAAGTGAGAACATATGGCCCCTTTTAAATTTCCCACATTTAAGTCAATATCGTTTCTTTTCTCCTTTGGCAAAGAAACATAATAAGGTTTATCTTCTCCCTTCCTAAATCTGCTGGCTCTCTCAAACTGCTTGTGCCAATTCAGCAGTTACTTTGCAGTATCAGACTTGGCAGCACATATGAAAACAAAATCTCTAATTTTTTAAATTGCTTTTATTTCTTCAGATCAAGAAGATGCATTTAAATGATGAAAAAGGACAAAATGAAACTGCACACTTTCAGATAAGTGGATTTTAAATCCATGAAAGGGCACAACAGAGAGACAACAGCAAAAAATTGTCTTGTTCAAGTTCTTTTTATGGTGACATCTTTCTAAAGTGACTAAAGGGATGGAAGACTATTCTGGAATCTTACTGCACCTGCTTGTCACATGTACCAGAGCCTCCACAAAAACCCAGTGCTGGGGCTGAGGGGGATGATGAGACACTGAGACCCCTCTTGAGGACAAGGAACACTTACTTGTCTCAGTGACTTTGGCTCCTCGGTTTTCTCTGCTGGTGTCACAGACGTAGTGAACACACCTCTCGTGTGCCAGGAAGGAGAACTTTTGGCCCATTCCTTTGGAGTGGCTCCATCCTGCACATCCTTGGGGAGATGAGTAAGAGGGCATGCTCATGGTGAGATCTGCTGTTCCGTGGATTTCCTTTGCTGTTGCAGGCTACAGAAGCAATATCCAAAGAACACAGGCTCCAAGTAAAACAAACTTCATTAACTATTGTTAGAAAGATCAGCAGACACATAATATCCCGTGAATGCCGAATTCCTGATTCAATTATAGCAAAAGGGGTTGCAGTGATGATGGTTTTAGCAGAGAAAGGAAAGTCTTGCCCTGCTCCTGAAAACATTACTTACTCCTTTAATTCATAGTTACCAGCTAAAATGACTCCGTGTTTCAGGCTCGTAAGATATCAAGATTGTAATCTTCAAATTAATTTATTTTAGCATCCATTTATTAGACCAGGAAAGTTCTAATAAAAACCTGTCCCTAACCAGTGCAAGCTCTGAGTGTCCCAGGGCCCTGGTTCCACGAGGGTATATATTGAAGTACTTCTGTTGATCCAGGGAAGCTGCACAAAATTTCCAGCGAAACCTATGGAAGTCACATGCTCAGAGCCACTGAGGGTTGTGGCCCTAGCAGATGGCACACTCAAACAGCAAGTTGTGATTATAGACATCAAAAGTAAAAAATATTCCCTGAAAAGGCTGTAAAGAGACTGGAGGAATGTGAGGCCCACAGTGCTGCCTTATTGCTTCCCTTCATACTTTTGCACTTACTGGAAACTCCGAGTCTCTTTAATTGAGCTTTTCCTCCCTCCACTCCTTGCAGGGTGAGAGGGTTAATTGCTTTGGACTGAAACATTACAGTTTTTGTACAGTTTTTGTACTCCTGCTTCCTGCTGGCACGTTGAGTATGCAGAGAGGCTGTGTGCACACACCATATAGAGCCCCCCAGCACTCAGAGAATGGATGAGAACAGCTCCAGACATCCCAAAAATGGGATGAGAACAGCTCCAGACATCCCAAACATGGGATGAGAACAGCTCCAGACATCCCAAACATGGGATGCCAACAGCTCCAGACATCCCAAAAATGGGATGAGAACAGCTCCAGACCCCCCAAACATGGGATGAGAACAGCTCCAGACCTCCCAGCCGGGGGTATCTATAGAGCACCATATCTGTGGCTTTGAAAATCAGCCCTGGCCAAGCGAGACCTTAACGCTAATTGCCGTAGCATTTCACTGTTTATCTTAGTCGAACTAGCATTACCAGTCATGGTTGTTAACAACCTCAAGTGGCACTTTATTCATCTATCAACAGCCTTACCCTGTGAACAAGCAAGCAAAGAACTATAAACACCCACTCCAAAGTCACTCTGTAGGTTTAAGCTGAAGCCCACAGAAAAAAGGCTATTCACAGATCATCAGAGAGCAGACAAAATACAACCTCCAAACCAATGTTTTAATCTACAAAGTTTTATTTATCTTTTTAAACTTGTAAACCATAAAAAGAGCTTATCAAATATCTGAAATTAGTACAAGAAAAAATGATGAATCATAGCAAACTGCATTTGTAAGGTCCAAATTCCAAGACAAGCATGGGGCTCTTCTGCTTCCATTTATGAAGCTGAAAACAAATTTGGCCCAGTTTGTTAGGTGTTTTATTAAAAATTCACAAAGCCTCAGCATGCTATGCTTTGTGAATAGAACAGAATGGGAAGGAATAAATGCAAGAATAAGCACTCAGCACCAGAAGGACCTGAACCCCATATCTTCATCCACAAAACACAACACCAAAGGAGTACATATATCCCTTAGCTGGTAGTTATTAGAGGCAGCTTTGTCTCTAGGCACTCAAAGGAAGACTCACACCCACATCACAGACATGTCCTAAAAACCAGAAAGCACAGTGCACATCATTACCAGTATGCCTGCTATTGTAAATGTTTGCTCATCGTCAAATTTATGAAGCCCCTTAACATTATATCTTCAACATTCTTAAAAAACCTTCTGGAACTTTTGACTCTCAGACTCCAGAACACCAGCCTGATGAGACAACCTCCAGGCCCAGGCTGTCATTCCTTGTGGTATAAAGATTATCCTTTGTGTCAGTAGATTTCACAGGCATAGTTAGTGCTTAGTGTTTAGAAAAACCAGGACAGATACTGAAACTTTAGGTAACATTTGACCAACTTTTGTGTTTGTAATCAAAAAGAACTGATGTCAAACATTTCCCTCAGCTTGGACAGGGACTCAGGAAAACGGATCCTTCTTCATTCTGCCATAACCCCAGTGATTATCTGCATCTTTCCTACTTGTGCCTCCCCCTGCATGCTGGAGATTCACCTCTTATAGAAAGTCCTTCAAGTTTTCCCAGTGAAAAGCATTCTACAAACTACTGCTGCTGTTTTATGAGCAAAAACTGTACCATAAGAGATTCATAAAAGCAATATGAATAAAAACTTCTCCAAACAACCATTCCCTGCCTCTAGTGTGTCTGGCCCAGCCCCTCTGTTGGAGTTCTTTGCTATCCCTACACTCCTCAAATCTTTCCATCTTTCCCTTGCCAGTCTTTCTTCACAGCTCTAACTCTCACAGTGATCTGCCAGAATAGTCCTTAAATCCTGCGAGTGTAAAACAAAGAAATTAGAAGACCTCATTAGAAGACTCCTATCATTTCAGCTCATTTAGGATTGAATTATCTAGAAATATATAGAAATATAAAAGTAAATTAAAGCATCATTGAAAAACTCATTATTTAATAACTGTAATCCAAGCTTCAAATAAGATGCATTTCAATGTATATTGAATAATTTTAATAAAATCTGGTTTTTTTCTATCTGTTCCGTTTAGACCATTTAAAGCACATTTTAAATGTGCACAGAACGACAAAAAAAAATCCTAAAACAGAACCTTCCAAATCAAATCAACTCAACATCTGTTCAAATATGCAAACAAAATACATTATTATGTCATAAATAGAGGCTGGTTTTGCTGATAAGTGCATTAGGAAAGAAATCTTCTTCCAGAAGCTATTTAGAAAACACATTAAGTTCAATTTTTAGTTCAACGATTTTCAAACATGTTTCTGCTGGTATATTAAAAAAAAAGAAAAAGAAAACCAAAGAAGTCTGACAATTAATAGGATGCTGAATAAGACTTGGTTCCCAGCAAAGCCATGAATAAGTCATGTTTGAAAATGTATTTTCAGATCTTGATGAATTGCATCAAGGTAATTAAAGGTGAGACTTGATTAGCTGACATGTTTCCAAACATGAACATTCTTGCCTGTACTCCAGGCAAAAATTATGGTGAATGTTTTCGTAAATTTTCTAGCATGATGAATTTTTCTCAAGTATAATCTAGGCCCAAAGGGGCCCAACTTTCCTGTTAATTGGAATACAAATGAAATCTGTCATTCAGTAATTGAGGTACACGATGACATATGGAGAACAGTATGCATTCATCAGAGCTGTGTGTTTATGTGGCAACTTGTGGACTCTTGAGCACACACAGTGCTCATCCCTTTAGAAAAAATCACCTCTGTCAGAATCCCTTTTGTTCCACTCAGTAACTCTGCCAGAGGACACACTCACACTCACACATACAGATATATATATATATATATAAATATAAACATATATATATACACAACACACACACACACACCTTTAAAGGACTTGTCCAGCTAAACATTGCTGTTCTATGCTCACAATGACTAGGGTAGAAAGGCCATATTAGAGGTCATATATTTGGTCATATATTTGGGGCTGGTCTGCCAATATGCCAGGAGAATCTGTACCATCACCCAAGGGCAGAACTTGGTGAAATTTCTAAAAATGACAAAATGACAAAATAATATGTGGCTGCTTCAAAGACATTTGGAAGTGCCTTGAGGTCCTCCAATGACATTGGTGTAAAGAGTATTTGCTGCTAATCTTAATTAATTTACCAGCTTGATCTCTTAGAGCAAAACTTCCATTTACTATTAGCAAACCCATCAGCAGTAAGTTGTAGAAAAAAATAAATACTGAAGTTACTGGCTGCACATTATGTAGACTCCCAACACATCTTCCTGAAATGAAATTATAGGCACCCTGCAGCCCGTGGAACCTGGCAGTCTTGCCAGAGATTTCACTGCAACAGAAATTTTACTTCACAGCCTTAGCTTAGGTAAATTTGTATTATGGTCATGAAGTTGTGAGAAGAGCTTAGCAATGCTTCTTTTCAAAACACTGTCCTCCCCAGAATTGCAGCTGGTAGAGATAAGCAAAATTTTTCAATTGAAATTTTTCAGCAAATAGTGCAAAGTTCAGGATTGACTTCATTTTGCTGATCTGCCTTGTGTAAAAACAGAAGAAGAAAGTGAAAAGTCTGGAGTTTTCATCTGAAATTACTTAATGCCTCCATTTTACTTTTCAATATTACCAATATACTCAACTCTGATATTTTTTCTTTGGAAATTAATGTTTTGTTTAACCAGAAACTAAACTCTTTCAAATTTTGATTCAGCTATGGTTTTGAACAACTTAAAGCAATATTTATTTTTTTTAAGGAAAAATTTTCTGAATTAATAGCAAAATGAAATATCAGTTACTCAACACAGGTCCAACAGCAGGGGACAAGAAATTTAACTTTGAAACTTGATATTTTAAATATTAGACCAAAGCATACCCAGTCTATACGTAATTTCCTGATCCTGTTCCCAAAAATGTTAATGCAAGCTCTTTCATCAGTGGGATCTGCAAGCACTGACAGCAATTGCAATAGGCCCCTGAAATCCACAACAAGAAGAAAGAAATATACTTTCTGAACTAGTAAAACTTTAATTAACAGGGGGTTCTCTTGGCACAGTTTTTGCTGTTAAATAAATAAAGCATTTAGTCAAAACCATCTATATTTACTATACAAAATACTGAAAAGCAAACATATTTAAAAGATACGGAAATTTAAGGTTCTGTGAAAAGAAACTGTGCTACATGTTATTCACACTTATAATGCACATAACACAACTGCAACACAGTATTTAGATACTGTATATTCATACATGGCTGGTGTAAAGTTTTTGTAAGGGGATGCCATGTTATTAAAATTTGTGTTTCACAGACTGTGAGCAAGGCAGAATTTGTCTTTTGAATGTCCAAATATAATAAACCAAAACAAATCAATGCCAGGCTGTAACAAATGGTCAGTGGTGCTCCACGTCAGAGTTCACTTGGCACAGCCAGTACTGCACACTTCTCGGTCAGATGGGATTTTGGTAGTGGTGCTGTTTTCTTTTCCATTAAAACATCTTTGGGGGAAGGAGCAGTTTTACCCCTTTGCTGCCCTTTCTTAGAAAATCCCACAATTCTGAAAGCACTCATGCTTTCCAGAATATCTTCTGGTTTTCAGCAACAACCTACAATAAAATTGACTAAGAACAATTTCCACCTCTCAGTCTTTCTGGCATATGCTCTTCTGAAAAGAGAACAGCTTTAATTACTTCTTCAAAAGAAATAGCATGGCATCCCTTCTTAGATGGAATGTACACTGTGTGTTTGCATGCGGTATAATGTAAGTCACTTGAATACATCAGACTTTTTAACACTATAATATAAATAAGCTTATTCCTTCTACTAGACATATAAATGCCTTTTTTTTTTTTTTGCAGTCCATAATTATATATACATTGAAAAAGAATGATACACAAGCAGCAAAAAAGGCTTAGACTAGAACAACTCAGTGGTAACTAACCAAATTCGTGGCCTTTTCATATTTTCAACACAGAAAATTCTGCATATAAATATTTTTGGACTTTAGGAATTTTAAAATAAACAGAACAGTATAGTTGTCACACAGATCAAACACATTTTAAAAACATTTTGTTAGATTTTACAGAACACGCTGTTGACAGCTAAAAAAAGTAAAATAAAATAAACCAGATTTTTTAAAGGGGACAATAAGTCTAAACATCTGCTGATCCAGGGAGACAAGAGATGGACTTAATTACCATGAAGCAGTGATTCTATTCCAATTCCACAAGCAGGCAAGGCTTCCCACTGTTCTTTACAAGGTGATGTCTCTGTGTTCTTAGAAAGGACAACATCCCTCTAAAACTGGTCAGCAGTAAAGTAATACCCCATTTTGGACTGATCAAAACTCTAGTCAGAAAACAAAAAATACCCTAATCATAAAGGGCTTATAACAATGTCGGATAGTTACATTTTACAATATATACTATTGACAAAATACCACAACATTAAAAATAATTAAAACCAAAAGCAAATACATTTATAGAACAATTATGTCTTTTTGTAGGAGTTCTCTACTTTAATGTTCCAAAAGAAATGTAGGTGTTTTCCAGTCACTTCCTACCTGCAAAATGGTGATCTGTACAAAACCCAACTGAATCTATTTTAAAATCTGGGCTCCACACAAAGTAAAACTTCTATGTACTGACCCCGGTTTTTTTGTTGGTTTTTTTTTGTCATTTTTCCAATTTTCTTTTGACCTTCAAATTTCTCAGCAGCCATTAAGGTCTTGTGAGTGTGGTCTGATTCTCCTTCAGGAAAGGAAGCCCTTTGATATGGAAAAAGTAGAAGAATCCAGAAAGATTGTGAATGAAATCTTTTATACATGTCTCTGAAATGGGAGAAGCATGAATTGATAGGTGCTTGGGAAATTCAAATTGGAGGCACCAAGAAAATGCCATGGCATATGTTACTAAAAAGTCACTGTTGTGGAAAAAAACAAATATAATGTTAATATTCAAACCACAGATTTCTAAAACACAACAAAATGTACCTGAGAGTGTGCATATTTATATATATATATTTATATTTATATTTTATATATATTTGCCAACATTTAAAGTGAGAAAGTATATTTTCCTCAATTCTTTCTCAAAACAAAGAACTGTGGATTTAAACAAAACAACCCCCCCAATCAACCCCTCTCCTTCTCAAACCCCCATGAATGATACTTATGGCCCAAGCACTAAAGTCTAGTGATGCTTTGGAAAACCCCATTTCACATCCTCCTCTTTTCAAATGGTACCCCAAATAGAGTGGAGAATAAGCAAGAGAAAAACCAAAAATAAAAGAAGTATATTTAAATATTACCCAGTATATATAACAGACTGTACTTGTGTCAATGAAGAATCTCCAAGAAAATAAAGTGTGAGTCATACAAATGTAGCCCTGTTGACAAGTTTAGCTAATATTTCCTTGCAATTAAGTTGATTTGAAAGGATGTGAACACAAACAGGCTACATGAACACAGTATATTAAAATTCCCCCCTGTAGCACATTACAATCAATAAAAAGAAAATAAAATCTGAATAATACTAGAGGTAGCAGCTGTTTGTATTTCCCATTATCTGAGTGTCTCTGGAGTCCAACCCTTCGAACATTGCTCCCCTGATGAAAGGCTTGTGTGCGATCAGCCGGCGTACAGCAGAGTGGAAAGCTGGATGTCTGCAGGAGTGTTTGAAGTATCTTCCCGAGTACAGTGGAAGCAGTACTTGTACACAAGTGCGTTGACGACCTGTATTAAATCACAGCTCAAAAAGCTATGGCTGTTTGCTGTTTTACAAGCCACTTTAAAAAAAAAAAAAAAAAATCCACAAGGTGTTTGAGTAAGCTATGCAGTTCCACAACATATAAATACGGTGAGATTCAAGAGTTCCATATAACCTCTAAAATATAAGCTAGCTGAATATTAATGGAGTAATGATAATATTAATCATAGTTCTGGTATCACAAGAATGCATTTCCTTCATTTGGGATGATTCTTGGAGGATGTTGGTGGGATCTCTTCTATGTCTGGTAGAAGTGGTGGTAGTGGTGGTGGTGCTCGTGATGGTGGTGGTGCTCATGTCTTTGTATCATTTGTCCCACTTGGCCTTCATACAAAATGACTGTGGGCAGGTCTCTCACATGTTCCTTTTCCACAACTGTCCCCGGAGACTGGAAGGTTTTGCACATTTGGTGATTCTCCTTTGCCCTCTGCTTATGCTTCTTGTGGATCTGTTGGGATTGCAGGGGAAGGTACGGGAGGTTCTGGCCCACCCGTGCACTTGGGGAAGCCATGGGCAAGGGCACCCCTTGGAAAGGTTTATTTCTAACTGCCCTTCCAGGATGCACAGGGGCCACATTTTTGCCCTGGGCTTTGGGAGACCTCACAAAGTGCTTGTTTGAGTCCTGGTTCCGGAGCCTCTGTTGGATTTCTGCAATCTTGGCATACGAACTTTCAGCCAGGTTGATGTGGTTTGGATCCACCACTTGAGATTTCCTATGGTGAGCATGGAAGGTCTCAGGCTCATGAGAACGAGATCTAGTTTGATTCACAATTCTGCCTGGTGGGTCATGTTTTTGAGCTGCTGGAGGAGATCCTAGGAAATAACAAGCTGAGTTAGTCATCTAGTATTTCAAAGTTTTAATTAGTAGCATGCAGTTGGCAGGGATAGCATTATCGGCAGAACAATTTTTTCCTAAGGAAGTGAATGCAATTATAGCTGTCTAGTTTAATTACATTTAATAATTCTGGCCAGTAAATAATACACAAATATGAATACCTATCTAGAGAAGACTGAACATACGTGAGTGTGTGTATGTGTATAAAAATCTTTATGTTACCAACCCTTGGTTATCAAATTAAACGTGAGGGGAATAGTAAAACCCTGGCAGAGGACAGGGAAATGAAGAAAATCCAAATCTCTTTGATTTGGGGACTAGAGCCAAAATTCCAGGTATGAACACACATTCTCCTATTTTTGGGTCAGTAGTGAGTATAAAATATGTGCTGGTCTCATCTTGGGAACAGGCTTCAACATCCAAAAGTCAATCCTTGCCTCACCCGTAGACTAAACTTAATAATTTAGATGTAAAGATTGTTCTCCTAGGCTCAACTCCAAGTTTAGCTACACAAACAGGTACATCAAAGCAGCCTTGCAGCACATTAGCCACTCTGTTGTGATACCACCTTCACCAGTAATTATTTTACTGAAATATTCACAGTCCTGTTCCTGAGTCACTACAGACAAATCACCAGCTTCACAATTCACTGTCCATGATATGGAACACGTAACTGAAGAAAGAAAAGATTATGAGGTCACAATATAAATTACCTGGCCCAAACTTTGATGTGTAGTTTTCTATTCCTGCAAGATCCAAATAGTGGTTTCTCCTTTCAATGTTCTCATCAACACAATGGCGATAGCACCCACTTTGCTCTGGATTGTTCTCACTCTGGTGGTATCTGTCAGCAGGAAGCAAAATCACAATTCAGCAGAACTTCTTTAAAGTTCTTATCACCATCTGCAAACCAACAACTAATGGACCCTTTGAAGTGACAGGAGCTGCTCAGAAAGAAACAACAAACACTTGAAATTCGGGATTTGCTATGACGATAGGCCTAAACTGGCTGTTCCTTCCCCTCATATAAATCAACCCTGATGTTGCAAAGCAAAGGAGGCTTTCAAATTGCATTACATGTGCAAAAGCAAATAAAACCACTCCTAGCATTTATTACTTTCTGTCTTAGGGCCAAATCATTCAACTCATTCTCCAATGTGGACATGCCAAAGAAAATCTGCTGTTTGATTCACAATCATTCCCACCACTGTGAGGAAGTGCTGGGGTAATCCAGATAAATGTTCATGTGTTCCTGCCTCAGAAAGACAGGCAGCAGCACAGGTGTAGTAACTAGAGAGAGCCTGGGAAGAGAAGGTGTTGGTAGGACACTCAGAGGTAACTGCTGCTTTCCAAAATATAATTAATAAGGTCAGATCAGACACTGGCATCAGAATCTCAACTCCTTTTCCTGCTCAGCTTTGCAATTTTATTTATAGCAGAACTATTTCCTGAGAATGAATATCTGAAATACCATTCATTTATGAGGCAGAAAAAAATCAGACAGAAGTTTATAGTATTGTAGCCCATAATGCCAAACAATTTAATTCAGCAATTTAAATGGGAAGTCTGCAAATATGAACAACATTTTCAATCTAACAAACAGGATAAGCAGAAAAATTTTGATTACATTGCTGCTTGTCATTCAGACAGCTCAGTCTCCAAGACCATGAGACTGGCTTTGCTATTCCTCTGTGCAAGTGCACTGATGTCAACCTAACACCAGAATTTGGCCTTGTATCCTACACCAGTTGCTAAATATGAGCTCTGTACTGTGTGTTGCCCAGCTCTCTGCTTTTAGTCTCTTAACACATTTCCAAGTTTCCAGAGGCTGCTGATCCCCCTGAGCTTTGGCACAAATGGCTTTCCTGGTCTAGCTTATAGTGCTCAGGGACATTACAGAACTGAGGGCCTCGTGCCTCTGTCAGACACAGGTCTGCAGCTTCTTTGATAAAAGTCACAAGACTTGACCTACCTGGAAGATCATTTTTGCTCTACTTTGATAGAGGTAGAGTCTCCTGAATGGAGGAGAGTCTGCCTGGAAAGCAGGTAAGGTTTAAAGATTCTGAGTCAGCTTTGAACTCCAGAAATAACATGGGGTACTCTTAAAATAAAAAAGGGAATGTCCAGATATTCTCTACCTTTTGGATACCTAACCAACTCAGTACCTTTCCTATCTCAGACACAGCTTTACAGGTTGTTACACTTCAGCATGTCAACATAAAAGACCTGTGGGGCTAGAACTCACCTAACTGCAGTTGCCAGGCATGAATCACCTACAGAAACCACTGGCACTTGCACACATGTGCTGAAGACAATGCACAGTTAACCCAGAAAAAACATCTTTGAGTTTGATCCAACACAATTAAGCAACACTGTATACAGCACTGTGTTGGAAAGGAAGCTAACAGGG